ATAATTATATATAATTGGTAGAAGACAAACTGCACTTTTTTACAGCAGTTTTCAATTTCTCCAAGTTGGAAATATGTACCAAAAGTTTTATAACTCCGAATTGCTGAAAAAAGCCAGCAGGGGGTGCAAGTGAACAAGAAGTATGTTTGTTAAGTCCAATTTATTGAACGATAAGTGTTATATTGGAATGTAATTAATGCATAAAGATCCAAGTGCATATTATTAGTATTCAGTATTACTTAGAACCAGAGACACAGAAGCCAAATCTGCCATGATTCTCTGGTAATGAAAGATACATCCATTTACTTGCAGTTTTAGTTTAAAATAGATTTAGCAGCACAGGAAATCCATCAAAACTTTGAAACGTGCTAGATATCAACACAAGCAGAGATGTACACTTTAATTATCAAGATATTCTGCAACAAACATGGCTTCTTAAGCACACATACAGGGACTGAAAGATTTATTTTTAATCCAACTTGCCAACTCTCCCGCATGTTGTTAGATAGTCCTACATTTAAAATAAGAGCTCAGAGAGTTAAGTTTGACATGTGGACAAACAGCTCCGTAAACATGCTGTGTTTCTCAAAATTTCTGGTGGTGGATCGCTTGTGGCAGCCCTGTTTGCAGTATGTACGTGAAGGAATAATGTTCTCCCCAAATCTCTCAAGACACTCATTTTCAAAAGGCATATCTACTATGATATAGCACAGGGGTCTTCAAACTCCGGCCCCCCAGATGTTGCTGAACTACAACTCCCATGATTCTTTCAATTACATAGATAGCCAGAGAATCATAGGAGTTGTAGTTCAGCAACATCTGGGGGGCTGGAGTTTGAGGACCCCTGATATAGCATTTATGGAGCTCCCCTGAATAGTCTTCCAACTCCAATAGTAATTTATTATTGTTTAACTTCTTTATTGATGTTCACATTAAATATCAATATTTTATTTTCCTGCTGTGAAAGCAATGAAAAATAAGAGAGAAAAAATGCTGTCATGAAATGTTCACTTTAAACTTTATACAATTTTTTTTGTTGGCTTTCAATTTCCCAGTGATTTAATAGTTTAATGGTTTAAGTTGCCAGCAGTGCCCTGGTGCTCCTATGTAAGTAATCAAACCGTTTAGTAATGTTTTGACTTTTCTGTGGGGTCCACTGTGCACCGCTGCCTTCCTTCTCTCAGCTGCAAGCTCTCAGCAGGTAGATTAGGGTTTAGCTCATTGGCTGCTAAATATCAGCTGATGCTCCCAGCCAGCGAACTAGTGCTGCACTGCAGGTTTTAACTTAAGAGAGCCAACTAAAGCTCTTAGTAGAAGGTACTCTTGGAGGATAACCGAAAGGCGGGGAGTGGCTCCCGGAATGTCCCACGTAAGAAGGTAAAAAGTTACAGATTGATTTGACTACTTACATTGGGGAGCCGTGACAGGACACTCTGTAGTGGTTATAGTGCTTTGAATGTTCCTTTTAACTCGAATTTATTCTTCTTTTTTTTTCTGGAACTATTCCCAATTTGAAATACTGCCATTGGGCACCTGCTGTTGCCATCATTGGATGTCCAGATAGATGTCCAGCATGGACAAAACGGACATTAGCCAACCCAGGCTAGCTATTGACACTACAATGACACTGCTGAACGTGGCACTACATCACTGGCAGAAGATGGGGTAAACTCTTTGTGTTCACCATTCCGTAACGAAATGCTTGAGTAAACGTTTAAGAAAAGGGTATATTTTTTTTTTTTCATTGCTTAGAGTCTGTGTGTAGTGTTGAATACGAAATGTTGCAGGCTGCTAATGTTAATTTTGTGCATAAAATGTTTTTCTGTCATCAGCAAACATAGTACATAGCATATTGGAACAATGACCAATGGCGCACCTCACCCATGGCGCCCTTGCTCTCCAGGAGATTGGAGACCCTTACACCTGCAGGGAGGGAGAGTGATGTTACAGGGGAGACCATTCCAGCAAGAGTTACTACCTCCAAAAACAATGTTTGACTAAACCCTTGAGGGAGCTGGGAACTTTTCTTTGGTCACCCCTGCTTTAAAACAAAGACACATACATATTTTAGAGAATATTAAATACATGCTAAAGTTTCTGTGTATATTCTGCAAAACTATACATAGGCTGTGTCCCAACATACTGTATGTAGATAAGTTGCTTCATTCAATTCTTTAGTGTAATCTTGAACCAGTAGGTCCTTACAAAGCTGCAGTTTGTTCATAGAGTAGAAGAAAGTGCAAAGTGCATAGCATCTGTTAATTTCACAAATGTTTTTACCTCATCATTCTTCGTTACGTATAAAACCTCATTTCCAGCACCAAACACACAGGCTTGCTGGATAAACTTCAGGTCCTCTTGCGGGCAAAGAGCAAATATTGGCCACTTTCCAATGTCTACCATTGTCTGGGCAGCTGGTAATCACACGCACAATCTAAAAGTAAACACATGGAAGCTAAATGTTATTTGTATAAAAAAAATAACAATTGTGAAAATTATAAATATATTTGACATTTAAACAAGCCAAATACAAGCTAAACCTCAAAGGATTAAAGGCAAGTTGTTATCCTACCACTATAGCTTAATGTAGTGGTTTCAGGCCACACAGTTTGATTCTGCAGCCCCAGTAGTGTAAACACTGCCTTTCCTGAGAAAAATAATTAACTTAAAAAGTGTTTACACTGCTGTCCAACACCAACTCTAGTATAGAGGGGCTTCCTGGTAGAGCCCTGCAAACACTACAGGACCAACAGTCAGTGTCTCCACTCTGCATGGAGACGCTGAACACTACACACAGAGATGCATTGATCACTGCATCTCTATAAGGAGATGCTGATTTGCCACACATGTGCAATAGCCTCCCAATGCTTTCCTATAGGGAAGCACGAGATTGGCTGAGATCATCAGGACTGATTATCAAAATTGGGTGGTCGCAGTGAGACCTGCACCAGGAGAGTAAATATATTTTTTCCTTATTATTGGGGGAGGTGAGAAGGGGAGGGGCCAATTATGAAAATAGTTAAAGTAATAATACAGCATTGGGAATTAGGGGGGCGTGATCTGGATGGCAGCTGAGCAATACATGCTGTAAGTGAGCTCCACATCCCCACCCGGCATTAAGCAGCTTACGCACCTAAATAACTCCAATAAAGATGATTTGAAACCAAAAGATGAGCTCCCTACACATCTCCTAGATGAGCTCGCCTCCATCCCACACGCTTGACCAGTTTCTGCCAACTCCCAAGGTGTCTGCCATATAAAGCAGGTGAAATCCTGTTTCATCTGTATGGATTTTGTTTTATTTGTTTTCTTCTACTTTCAGTAGATGCTCCAGGAACTTAAAGACACCATTAGGTGGCGGAGATCCGAATGGATATTACATGGCTTGACGCCAGAATCACAGGCCTAGAAGAGACCACCGAGAGGTATGACCACAGGCAACAACAAGTAGATACGGCTGTTCGAAGCAGGGCCACTTGCTCTTGGAACTCTGGAGACCTCAATGCCCTGTGTGCCCTTTCAATTACAAAGTCCTCCAGGACTGTATTATGTAGGACCAGGTTAAATGGGTCAAAATTGTTTCAAAATGACACTACGTGGTACAGCATGAGATGGCCTGAGGACGCACGCAGGTTTTTGGTATATATCCAACTGTATTTTACATCCAACCATGGGATGATAACCACTATTACCGGCCAGAACCCAGAGATCTAAGGCTTCGGACATTGACAATAGAAGTAGGAGGTGTAACATAAGAATCAGAGGCCTAGCAAAAAAGGAGCACTGCGCTACAAAAAGGCATCCACTGTAAATGGAGTTTACCATTCTCTCTGCAGGCCCAAAATGACACTACGTGGTACAGCATGAGATGGCCTGAGGACGCACGCAGGTTTTTGGTATATATCCAAATGTAGTTTACATCCAGCCATGGGGTGATAACCACTATTATCGTCCAGAACCCAGAGATCTAAGGCTTCACTATCATACATTCCAGTCCACCCTGCCAATTCGGAACAGTAACAAAAATGTAATGCATAGAGTGACTGCTTTATGGCTTAGGCCTCAAGCCTAAAAACAAGAAATAAAATAAATCACACCAACGCATTTTGCCTTATTGCATGGGCTTTTTCAAAGTGTGTTATAGAAACCTGGACATTATCTGCTTTTATAGCGGAGTAAAATTAAAAATTTGGGGTCATGAGACATCAGTCACATTATAGCAAATAATTACCATACAGGATACATAGAATTGAATTAAAGGACCACTATAGGCACCCAGACCACTTCAGCTTAATGAAGTGGTCTGGGTGCCAGGTCCAGCTAGGTTTAACCCTTTTTGCAGTAAACATAGCAGTTTCAGAGAATGTTTACCTATGGGTTAATCCAGCCTCTAGTGGCTGTCTCATTGACAGCCACTAGAGGCGCTTCTCACTGTGATTTTCTCATGGTGCTACCATCAGCTCCACCACGCAGGCTCGCTGCCTATGTGTTCTCTTTGACTCCGACCTCTCCTTCAAGCCTCATGTTCAATCTATCGCCAAATCCTGTAATTTCCATCTCAAAAACATTGCGCACATCCGCCCCTACTTAACGCCAGATGCGACTAAGGTGTTGGTCCATTCCACTGTCCTCTCTCGCCTTGACTACTGTAATCCGCTTCTCGGTGGTCTTACGTGCACCCAACATGCGCCGTTACAGTCCATAATGAATGCGGCGGCGAGGCTCATCTTCCTGTCCGCCCGCACCTCCCACGCCTCACCCTTCTGTCAGTCCCCACATTGGCTTCCTATAAAATATAGAGTTCAATTTAAAATTCTGGTTCTTGCTTTCAAATCTCTACATAATGCTGCTCCCACCTATCTATCCTCCCTTATACACAAGTATGTCCCGTCTAGGCCCTTACGATCTGCTGAAGACTTACGTCTATCTTCTGTCCGTACTCCCACCTCTGATGCTCGCCTTCAAGATTTCTCGAGGGCTGCACCGTTCCTGTGGAACTCGCTTCCCTCCTCTGTTAGATGCTCACCCAGTCTCCAAAAAAAATTGTTAATAGCTCCTGACTGATTCCTCTTCTGCAACTGTCACTAGTCTAATACTACCCTTACCTTTTGTGTCACTTTACCCCAGTCCCTCTAGCATGTAAGCTCATTGAGCAGGGTCCTCAACCACTCTGTTCCTGTGTGTCCAACTTGTCTAGTTACAACTACATGTTCGTCCACCCATTGTAAAGCGCTGCGGAATTTGACGGCGCTCTATAAATATCATAATAATAATAATAATAATTTTCACAGTGAGAAGACACCAGCGTCCATAGGAAAGCATTGCTAATGCTTTCCTATGAGACTGGCTTGCCGCGCATGCGCATTCAGCCAATGGCGGAAGAAGAGGAAGGAGAGTCCCGGCGCTGGAAAAACGTAAGGGATTAACCCCTTCCTCCCCTTCAGCGCCACGGGAGTGGAACCCTGAGGGTGGGGGCACCCTCAGGGCACTATAGTTGTCCTTTAAAAACGAATGTGTGAGGAGTAAAGGTTAAAAATTACAGGTATATCATCTGAAAAGTGTAAAAATTAGGTGTATTTGAGGTAAAACACTGTATGGATGGAGCAGGGAGTGTGGCCAAGATAGCGCAGCGTCTTAAACCAAATGGGAAAGGAAAGGTTTTTTTACAGTAAGAACAAGAAGGATGTGGAATCTCTGCTGGAAGAGGTGGTTTCATCAGAGTCTGTACAGATGTTTAAACAGTAACTGGATGAATACTTAAAAACATAATGTTAAAGCCACCCAAGGGCTGCCGGCTGGCAAGTCACTCCGGGTTGGACGGGCTCACTAACTTATATTACAAGAAATTTACTAAGACATTGGCCCCGCACTTACTTAGGACTTACCAGCGAGCGATGGAGGGGGTGCCCTGTCTTCGGAGATGTTGCTGGCCACCATAGTGACCCTCCCTAAGCCTGGTAAACCCACAGATACTTGCAAGAATTTTCGTCCCATATCCCTTAACACAGACACGAAGCTGTACGCCAAGATACTGGCGAACAGACTAGCACCGATCCTACCTACACTTATTAGGGACGACCAGACAGGATTTGTGTCTGGTCGAAACGGGCTAGACAACACCCGTAAATTTTCCGTGGTGCCCAGAAAGCTGAGGGGGTCTAGGCAGGGCAGTCTCTTGCTAGCTTTAGACGCGGAAAAGGCGTTCGACTGCCTTGGTTGTCCCTTCCTGAAAGGAGCTTTGGGGTCCTATGGCTTTCCCGCTTAAGTGATAAAACAAATTTTTGCATTGTATTCTAGCCCCACGCTAGAGGTGCTCCAGGTGGGTTTTCTCTCCTCCCCTTTCAAAATTTCCCAATGGACTAGGCAGCCTTGGAGAAGAAATACTCATTGTCCAGGTTCTTCCAGTACTCCAATGTTCAACTGAGGCTAAACAATGCCACAAAAAGGACATCCCTGATACTTTAGCTACTGCAATCACAACCTGGGAACAAATTTGTATCAATGGCTCATTACCACCAGTTTGTAAACCGATCTCCACGAGTTATCGTACACTCTCATACCACACACCCTTTACCACCTCAAGCTTGGCACAGCAATGGGAGAGAGAACTACAATGCACACTTTCCTCTGCTACATGGGAAAGCATTTTTAAACTACCCAGACAGCTGATAAAATCTTCTGCCCATATGGAACAGCACTATAAAACGGCCAATAGATGGTACCCAGTAGACTGCATAAATTGTACCCGTACACACCTGCCTCTTGTTGGCGCTGTAAAACTGAAGAAGGTACTACCCTCCACACATGGTGGACCAGTCAAACAATCCAGCCCTTTTGGAAAAGTGTGCACGACACCGTTCAAGCAGTGACTGGGTGTAAGATACCTCTAACTCCGGAGCACTTTTTACTACAAGACCTGCCCGCAGAGATCAAACAGAAAATAACGATGCACGTACCATTAACAGCACAGAGGCTCATTGCACAGGCCTGGAAATTAACGATGGTACCACCTCTGCGGAGGCTACTCACTGAATTAGACAAACAATGTTTGTACGAGAAAGACCTGAAGAAACTATTTCCCCCCCCCACACAAGGTTCTCTAAATGCATGGGACATGTGGGACTCGGGGAGATTAGTTGTATGTCGCATTGCAACCCTGTATTTTAAAGTATTCTTTAAAGTATGCTTCCATTTGGTAATGCGCTGACGATGCATGCTCCTGTTCTCGAGCAAGGTGTATTGTTGTTGTACTGTTGACATAAGTGAACCTACTCACGGTTATGGTGTCTACAATGCGATTTCTGTCCACATTGCTAATTGACCTCCTGTGTCAAATGAACGAAACACGGTTGTGGTATGTTCTCTGCATGAACTCTGTATGTAAAATGTTCATTTTCTCTTGAGTGTTGACAGCGCTCTTCCTCCCCCTTTTTCCTTTCTGTACCCCATGATTATTTTATAAAATCAATAAATATTTTAATGGAAAAGAAATATAATGTTCAGCGATATCATTTTTAATAAGTGAGGTAATAGCTACTTGATCCAAGGAGAGACCTGACTGCCATTCTGGGGTTAAGAAGTAAGAGTTTCCTAGTTTGTTGCAGAATTGAAAAGTGCTTCAAACTTGATCAACACCAAAACTGACATGAGAAAAGCTGAACTTAAATGGACACAAGTCTTATTTTTAAGTAATATTTAAAAAAAAAAAAAAAAAGAGGCAATTTCAACAGGTAGCCTGATATTGCTGAGCCAATTGAGACTGGCTGACAATCTGTGCGCCATTGAGGGTACCCCTCCAATATTTATCATTCTAGGAACATTTAAACACCAACCTTGAGAGATACAAAACTGAATACAAACCATAAAAATGCAAAGTAGAGACAATGACATCCAGGTAAATACAGTGCAGTCTGCACCCTCTCCCCCTAAAAATGAAAACTAAATCCATGTGTTGTAGGCTACATTACTTTCCTCATTGTGATTACCAAAATATTAAGGACTTGGAAACCAGCTATTTGAGGACATATGTAGCATTGTCATTGCTATTTATATGTTCTCTTTATGGATTAAAAACAACACCAGGAATATTTGTTGCTGGTTTTTTGACCAAAAAAACAAACCAAAAATAAATAAATAAATAAATAAAATAAATAAAAAGCGTTCACATCTAAATTAGTTTATACTAAGCTTTCAAGCTAGAATGTAAAAGGAAACTGTTCTGACAAATAAATATGACAAAGAATAGCTGGGTATATTTATATGATGTCTTCCGTTTTGGTTTGTTAAAAGTACACATACATAAGAAAAAGAAAATAAATTATATGGTCTAACAAAATATGTTTGTTTGGGGAGCATGAATTAAATACATCAACAGTTTAATCTGTGCATATTTCAGGTAAAAAATACCAGAAAAATAAAACTGCAGATGATTTAAAGGAGAACTGATGAGGGGGTGGGCTCTGCCGCCAACTGAAACGGTAAACATATCTAGAGATCTAGAATTATTTGGTGTTCCATAATTGCCTTTTCTGACCAAGGACACCCTAACTCGTGTTTGTACTGCAGTATTTGAGGGCAGCCACAACTCTTTCAGGCCCCCTGTCTACTGAAGCCTACTAAACTGTTGTGGCAGGGTATGCAACTAGCTTCCCACCCTTTCAATACATTGCATAGACAGGAGCCCCAAGGACTAGTGGAGTTATGCCAGTCCCCACTGGAGACAAGCCTGCTATTCACAGAGAATGCAGACAACCATACCTAAAATGGTTGACATACTCATTATCCAGCAACTACATCTGTTGCAGTCCATTTGGATAGAGACCAACCTAAAAATCAGAACTCTTCTGTGAGGCGCAGAGAGTACCAGGCGAACAAAGAGGCAACTTCCAGCAGCTTCTTACCTGGGCCGCGAGCCTTGGAGGGACAACCTCTCCCATTCCGGAAGGGATGGCCCTGGTGGACCCTCCAAGGACGCTGATTTGCACACTAAGAGAAGACTGACCTGTTGGCTCGTGGGAAGGCCTGGGGTCAAGTACTGCTGCAGCTAAGTGTGTGGGTCGCTGGGCATTGCCGAAGAGTAGTTGTCGGACATTGAGAATTGGGTGAATCGAGGTTCATGAGAGCCTATGTGGAATAACTTTAGTCAACCAGTTTGCATTTTGTCTTTTCTTTGTATCATACATTTAGTTTTATTTTCTTAACATGGCTTGGCCACTCGTAGCTATTGGCTCCAGAGGAGTCATACTTGTGCATTTAAGCTGTTGGGTCTTAAAATATTATTATGCTATGGCAAAGCTTTGTTTTGTCTCTAAAGTAATCTTTCATTTTAAACAGATCTTTTTCAGTATGTCTTGTACTTTATCATAGATCTAAACATCTTCTTACAAGCTCTATAACGAAAAAAATTACTGCATTGTTTACATATATAGCAATCTTTACTGCCATTTATCTTCTTGCTGTTATGTCCCTACTAGCCTGTATTATGATCTCTGCACTGCAAAAATAAAACAAAATAAGTGGAATGATTCCATGATTTTATAATTGTTTACTTATCCCTATGTTTAACAAATATGTAATTGAGGTGTGGACAATAACATTAAAGGACCACTATAGTGCCAGGAAAAAACATACTCGTTTTCCTGGCACTATAGTGCCCTGAGGGTGCCCCCACCGTCAGGGACCCCCTCCCGCCCGGCTCTGGAAGAGGGAAAGGGGTAAAAACTTACCTTTTTCCAGCGCTGGGCGGAGAGCTCTCCTCCTCCTCTCCGCCTCCGATCCTCCCCGCCGGCTGAATGCGCACGCGCGGCAAGAGCTGCGCGCGCATTCAGCCCGTCGCATAGGAAAGCATTTACAATGCTTTCCTATGGACGCTTGCGTGCTCTCACCGTGAAAATCACAGTGAGAAGCACGCAAGCGCCTCTAGTGGCTGTCAATGAGACAGCCACTAGAGGATTAGGGGGAAGGCTTAACCCATTCAGAATTATAGCAGTTTCTCTGAAACTGCTATAATTATGAAAAAATGGGTTAAGCCTAGAAGGACCTGGCACCCAGACCACTTCATTAAGCTGAAGTGGTCTGGGTGCCTAGAGTGGTCCTTTAAATGTAGAAATCCAGATTTCTTTATCCTGAATCTGGTCCGAGACACTTTAAGTCTAAGGTGATATTTATTAAAATCTGTCCCATTTTTCATCTGTTGCTTTTTTGCACACCAACAGTGATTGTTACATTCCAATAATGAAGTTACTTTTCAGAACCCTATAATATATATTCCCCAATGTTTATATGTATTCTTTTCATTTACAAGGTTTGTACTGGCTTTGCTTTGTGTGAAATGCAGAATTATTCATTTTAAAATAAAACACAGAATCTCAAAAAATAAAAGGTTAACACAAGTTATAGGTGATTTTCAATATTTTACTAAATGGTGTAAGTTCTAGAGAAGAGATAGTTCTTCAAATTTGACAGTTGAGCAGTATTTTTCAGTGTTACACACACAGACAGACACACACTTGTGTGTATATTATTAACAAGTTGGGGTGGACAGAAAGATGAGCCTCGCCGCTGCATTCATTACAGACTGTAACGGGGGAATTTGGGAACACGTAAGACCAATGAGAAGCGGATTACAGTAGTCAAGGCGAGAGAGGACAGTGGCATAGACAAGCACTTGAGTCGTATCAGGCGTTAAATAGGGTCAGATGCCTGCTATGTTTTTGAGATGGAAGCAGCAGGGTTTGGCGATTGATTGGACAAGAGGAGTGAAGGAGAGGTCGGAGTCAAAGAGAACACATAGGCAGCGAGCCTGCGAGGTAGAGCGGATAGTAGCGCTAGATAGATAAAACAATCCAAACACCATAACTACAGTGTTGTCAAATGGTTTGACATGGTACCTGGGTTAATAAGATAAGCAATGCACTTTTCTTGGTTTTACCTTTTCTCCCTATACGACAGCAACAAAAGTTTAATTACTTTAAAACATTTGATGTAACTAAACTCCTATTGACAGAATGGAAAGAGTATATTGCACATTCAGGGGTTACATTACTCCAAGCACCATGGCCACTTCAGTGCTTTGAAGTGGTCATGGTGCTTGTAGTCTCTCGTACAGTGAGATTTGAAATGAAGATTTCTTTGGGGGGGGTTTTGTTTTGTTTTTTTAAACAAAAGGACAAGCAAGGGTTAAAAAAAACATGGGTTTTTTTTTGGTTAGAGTAACCCTTTAACATAAATTTTACTTTGTAAGCTTGTTTCCTTGCCGCTGATCCTAAAATTGTATTAATATTTTATCTCTGCCAAGATATACAAATTAAATAAACTGAAAGATTAATCCATAGAAGAATCTTTTCCTCAACCTCACCCACCCTAAAAGTTAACGTTTATAAGTAACAAATTGTACAAAAAGGAAACTATGAGGAAGGATGTTATCCAAGATTACATCTAATGCACGTAAGCAGCCATGAAAAGTCAGGGCAGACATTGTATCTGTAGAAATCAAAGTTCAGCATATAAGAAAAAAAACAAAAAAAAAAAAACAGAATTTTAAAATCTTCATATACACACACACACACACACACAACAAAATTACTGATGCTTGGTAGATACAGATATCAGTATACTGAGATTTAAAAAAAAAAAAAAAATCCAAAAAAAAAATCAGCTGACTTTTGGCAATGACCACTCCCACCCCCATCCCAAACGTAGACAGTTCAAGTACATAATAAATCTACATGGTCACAATTTCCTTCCATGACAACTGGTGTTCCTTGCTATGCACCTTCCGACTCTCTCCTTATCTTGTTTTCACTGAACGTCACTTTGGTAACAACTTATTCAGACATGTTAGCATGTTCTCTGTAACATAACACACTATAGGAATTCTGTATATTGCTGAGAAACGGCTCAGAATTAAAAAGAAATACAGAATAATATATTATCCACTGAGATCTGAAAAAAATGTTCACAAAAAAATAAATATGCACGATTACAAAACAATCCTTACTACATAGCAAATGGAAGCTCACTTTTATAATTTTCTATATTCCTAAAAAAAACATGGCGGCATATACTTATTTGTAATGCCCAAGCAGTATATAAAGGAGAGACCAAGGTCAAATATAGCGAATAGTTATAAAACCTTTCTCGAACTGCACAAACTTATCAAAAGCCAAACTAGCAATCAACAGGATATTGTCATAATATCTGCTGAGACAATTTATTATACTTAGCCGAGGTGGGAAAACATACTTTACAGCTATGGAGACAGATGAACTGCTGGAGGCCTGTATTTCAGCAGCAAATGGGGGTTTGAAAACAGACATAGGGGAAACCCAGGGAGGCGACTCTTACATCTGTGGGTCTTCAGGGATTAGACGCAGAATCCTGGCTGGGTCTACAAAGTAACGGCCTGCTGAACATAAAATAAAAATCTAGGCCTGCTTAAAACGGCACTGTCATGGCCACAACCATTTTTTGTTTTTTCCCACTCTTCCAACTCTGTGTGTGTGTGTGTATAGATCTGATTTTAAACGTGTGTACGTCTGCATGATTTTGTGTATAGAACTGGTTTTAAATTTTTGTCTGTGATTGTGTGTATGTATGCTTGTGTATAGGCCTGTGATTATATATGTGTGTATATATCTGTGGTTATGTGTATATGTATGAACATGTGAATGTTTAGTTGATAGCTCCCTAATTTGGTATCCTAAAATATGGCAATTCCACATTAAGCATCACAAATAAGGGAGTTTTCTATTAAACAAATGAAATATCAAAAATAAGAAAACGGCTTTTAAAGTTTTATTATATAAATGATATTATATATTTTATGTGCGGCCCAAGACAATACCTCTTCGCTCAATGTGGCCCGTGGAAGCCAAATGTTTGGACACGCATGCTTTAATCAGAAGCTACAGTCAAAACATCCAGATAAATACAGTGGCTAAAAGGCTTAAAACAACTTCTCCTTTAAGAAGTTAAATGCTGAACAGATGCACTACACTGAAAATAATTAAGGCGTCAGATGTAACAGCTACCTTAAATGGCTTGTGTGTAATAGTAGATTTGTTACAGATATTAAAACTAACCTCTGGAAATATATGAAAGTAGCTTTGTACTCTATTTTCAACAGTTATGTTCCTTTGGTCCATAGACCACGACGTCTATTCAGAATCAAAGATCTGCAAAAAACAAAAAAACATATGTCTTTAACAAAATACATTCCTGAGAATGGTTAACACATGGGAAACGTTGATCTAAAATGAATTGGTAACCAACATATCAGGCTGGAATACATTTTGTCTCTGTGCTGGCCTTGGAGTAATTTGAAGTAGGTCAATGCTTCATGCAGCCAGTCTGAACTGACATAGATAGAAGTAATTATGGTAAAGCGCAAGAAAAAAAAACAAAAAAACCTTAAAACCTTTTCATTATACAGCTGCGAGATTCTTTGTCAGGAAGGATAGGTGCTTTTTTATTGTAATCCTGACTAGACGTACATTTGATTTGGAGATACACAATTTGAACAAAGTAACCGCTTCCCGAAGAGCATGGGGAACAGCGGTCCAGGTGCTTTAGAGAGTCAACAAAAATTTAAGTGGCCCTATACAAAAAATCAAACAAAAAAAAAACACAATTAGATTGATGCATGGATGTGGAAATGATATCACCAGACACCTGATGCAGGGTATTGCAATATTCAACAACTGGAGACAGGCATTACAACAGATTCGCAGACAGACAGGTCGTCTTGAGCGCAAGGCAGCCCTGAAGATTTTGGTGCCAGGCAGGTAATATGAGGTATGCACCTCCGGTTCACTCATGGTCCAGCACGCGCTATTGAGTCAGACCTCAGCCGCCACATGTTTCAAGCATGCAGTCTGACTCACTGGATTCCAAAACCACGAGGGAGCGATTACGTATATCTGCATCAGCTGGATGTGCAATGTTCAGAGTTTCACTAAGCACCCAGGACCCCCACTAGACCACCAAACAGAGTTAACCCCTAGGGATCATAGCCCATCTTCCTGCAGAAAACAATCACATACAGCCAGCACACACACTATGATAAAGAGAGAGACTATGGGAGATCAGTTGCTGAAACACTATTAAAATTTTACATTTGTGCACAATAAATCTGATGGAAACAGAGGCTAAAACATGTGACTATAGCAGAGTTAGGAAACTTTCCCAGACGAGTTATTTTTGCCTCCATTTTTCTATTCAGATTTAATTTATGAAAATTCAGAGTTTAGTACATAGCCTTATCATTGTCCAAGGCTTTTAGCAGGGGTCCCAATCTTTGTATCTGAAATTATTTTGTGTCAGGACAGATAGATTGTCATTGCACACAAGTAGATTGGGCTACTACTTTAGTCAATTGGACAAGTAGCTTATTTTTCAAAACTGCACACACCTGTCATGATGCTCTCAGAGGTGCATTATTACACAGTTCCTACTATGTCACATTTTTAAAGTTAATATTGTACGAATAGGGCCTATTTACAATCACACACTAATCTTCCTGGCTTCAGTATGAAAATATTTATTGGCTTGCCCTTCTGATTGAAGATGATCGGCATATACAGCTGTGCTCAAAAACTTGATTACCCTGGCAGAAATTGTGAAATTTTGGCATTGATTTTGAAAATATGACTGATCATGCAAAAAAGGTATTTTATATAAAGTGTCTGTGTATAGAGAGTCACCGAGTTTGTTAGCGCTCACATGGATGCACTGAGCAGGCTAGATACAGAGCCATGGGTAGCAGAAAAGATCTGTAAAAAGATGGAAAAGGATACAAAAAGATATACAAAGCCTTGAAAATGCCTGTTCATTCACTTATTAAAGGACCACTATAGTGCCAGGAAAACATACTCGTTTTCCTGGCACTATAGTGCCCTGAGGGTGCCCCCACCCTCAGGGTCCCCCTCCCGCCCGGCTCTGGAAAGGGGAAAAGGGGTTAAACTTACCTTTTTCCAGCGCTGGGCGGGGAGCTCTCCTCCTCCGATCCTCCTCTTCTCCTCCTCCTGGGCTGAATGCGCACGCGCGGCAAGAGCTGCGCGCGCATTCAGCCTGTCGCATAGGAAAGCATTTACAATGCTTTCCTATGGACGCTGGCGTGCTCTCACTGTGAAAATCACAGTGAGAAGCACGCAAGCGCCTCTAGCGGCTGTCAATGAGACAGCCACTAGAGGAAATAGGGGAAGGCTTAACCCATTCATAAACATAGCAGTTTCTCTGAAACTGCTATATTTATGAAAAAATGGGTTAACCCTAGCTGGACCTGGCACCCAGACCACTTCATTAAGCTGAAGTGGTCTGGGTGCCTAGAGTGGTCCTTTAAGGAGTGGAAAATTCAGGGATATTTTGATACCAAACCTATGTAAGATAGACCAAGAAAGAAGTCAGCCACAACTTCCAGAAGAATTGTTCAGGATACAAAGAAAAACACATAGATAACCTCAGGAGAAATACAGGTTGCTCTGTCTTTTGTCGTGTTTTGCCAAGCATAGGAAAAATACATAAGGCAAAAATAGTCCCTACTTTGCCTTATGAATTTTAGGAGTAATAAATTAGGAATGAAAAAGAGAAAAGGATATTGAAGCAAGGTAAGTATAGAGCAGGGGTAGGCAATCTTTAGCACTCCAGATGTTGTAGACTACATCTTCCGTAATGCTGGCAAAGCATCAATGAGAGATATAGTCCGCAGCATCTGGAGTGCTCAACATTGCCTACCCTTGGTATTAAGTGACAGAGAGGGCTTTAGCTGGTGGCCCTTTCCTTTTAAATAATATTTAGAACTCCTCTGCAAACTAGGTAAATGAAATGCTGCTATACATCAATGTCATGCACATTTATACTTTCCAAAAATATTACAAAGAAATTAAAAAATGAATGGTATTTTTTACCTTTTCTGTATTTCTCTGTGGAGTTCATTATATAATATAGTGGTAAGGTATATCAAGTTGTAATGTCAGCATTCATGATGTTGTGAAAGCAAGTCAAGCCTAGATTAGAATTACACCTTTCAAAAAAGAAAAAAAAGAAATATTGTTTTCCTTTTTTTGTTGCTATAATTCTGACATAATTAAAAATAATATCAAACTAGTAGTAGTAGAGTGTTTTGAAGGCCCCAGTAGTAGTAGGAGAGTGTTTTGAAGGCCCCATTACTAGCTAAGCCCCCCAATAAGCTATATACAGTTGCAAGAAAAAGTATGTGAACCCTTTGGAATGATATGGATTTCTGCACAAATTGGTCATAAAATGTGATCTGATCATCATCTAAGTCACAACAATAGACAATCACAGTCTGCTTAAACTAATGAAACACACAAAGAATGAAATGTTGCCATGTTTTATTGAACACACCATGTAAACATTCACAGTGCAGGTGGAAAAAAGTATGTGAACCCCTAGACTAATGACATCTCTAAGAGCTAATTAAAGTAAGATGTCAGCCAACTGGAGTCCAATCAATGAGATGAGATTGGAGGTGTTGGTTACAGCTGTCCTGCCCTATAAAAGACACACACCAGTTCTGGGTTTGCGTTTCACAAGAAGCATTGCCTGATGTGAATGATGCCTCGCACAAAAGAGCTCTCGAAAGACCTACGATTAAGATTTGTTGACTTGCATAAAGCTGTAAAGGATTATAAAAGTATTTCCAAAAGCCTTGCTGTTCATCAGTCTACGGTAAGACAAATTGTCTATAAATGGAGAAAGTTCAGCACTGCTGCTACTCTCACTAGGAGTGGCCGTCCTGTAAAGATGACTGCAAGAGCACAGCGCAGACTGCTCAATGAGGCGAAGAAGAATCCTAGAGTGTCAGCTAAAGACTTCCAAAAGTCACTGGCAAATGCTAATATCCCTGTTAGCGAATCTACAATACGTAAAACACTAAACAAGAATGGATTTCATGGGAGGATACCACAGATGAAGCCACTGCTGTCCAAACAAAACATTGCTGCACGTTTAGAGTTTGCACAAAAGCACCTGGATGTTCCACAGCAGTACTGGCAAAATATTCTGTGGACAGATGAAACCAAAGTTGAGTTGTTTGGAAGAAACACACACCACTATGTGTGGCAAAAAAAAAGGCACAGCACACCAACATCAAAACCTCATCCCAACTGTGAAGTATGGTGGTGGGGGCATCATGTTTGGGGCTGCTTTGCTGCGTCAGGGCAGGGACGGACTGCTATCATCAAAGGAAAAATGAATTCCCAAGTTTATCAAGACATTTTGCAGGAGAACTTAAGGCCATCTGTCTACCAGCTGAAGCTCAACAGAAGATGGGTGTTGCAACAGGACAATGACCCAAAGCATAGAAGTAAATCAACAACAGAATGGCTTAAACAGAAGAAAATAAGCCTTCTGAAGTGGCCCAGTCAGAGTCCTGACCTCAACCCGATTGAGATGCTGTGGCGTGACCTCAAGAAAGCGATTCACACCAGACATCCCAAGAATATTGCTGAACTGAAACAGTTCTGTAAAGAGGAATGGTCAAGAATTACTCCTGACCGTTGTGCACGTCTGATCTGCAACTACAGGAAACGTTTGGTTGAAGTTATTGCTGCCAAAGGAGGTTCAACCAGTTATTAAATCCAAGGGTTCACATACTTTTTCCACCTTCACTGTGAATGTTTACATGGTGTGTTCAATAAAAACATGGCAACATTTCATTCTTTGTGTGTTATTAGTTTTAAGCAGACTGTGATTGTCTATTGTTGTGACTTAGATGATCAGATCACATTTTATGACCAATTTGTGCAGAAATCCATATCATTCCAAAGGGTTCACATACTTTTTCTTGCAACTGTAATTAATAATCTGTATAACATCCAGCCTGGCGTGTCCTAAATGGATAACCAATACTTCAAACTGTTCTGCTGGTGAGAAGTAACTTAGTCTATGGAATTACATTCACAAACACAGCTTGTTACAAATACACTGCCTTTCATGTGTGACCCAGCTACAGGTATGCATGGTATATTATAATTCATGGCTAGTCTACCTACTCTAAAGCAGCTTACAGTAAACATGGCTCTCATGCAAGTAACATGTGCCTCCAGTACCCAGGTACAACATAACCCATAATACATCTCATAACATAACCCATAATACATCCCATGATACTCAGTGTATAATACATCCCATAATATTTCCCATAATAGTGTATAATACACCCCATAACACTCAGTGTATAATACAGTCCATAATATATCCCATAATAGTGTATAATACAGCCCATAATACTCAGTGTATAATACATCCCATAATACTCAGTGTATAATACAGCCCATAATACTCAGTGTATAATATATCCCATAATAGTGTATAATACAGCCCATAACTCAGTGTATAATATATCCCATAATACTCAGTGTATAATACAGCCCATAATAGTGTATAATACAGCCCATAATACTCAGTGTATAATACAACCCATAATACTGAGTGTATAATACATCCCATGATACTCAGTGTATAATACTGCCCATAATATATCCCATAATACTCAGTGTATAATACATCCCATGATACTCAGTGTATAATACAGCCCATAATATATCCCATAATACTCAGTGTATAATACATCCCATGATACTCAGTGTATAATACAGCCCATGATACTCAGTGTATAATACAGCCCATAATACTCAGTGTATAATACAGCCCATAATATATCCCATAATACTCAGTGTATAATACATCCAATGATACTCAGTGTATAATACAGCCCATAATACATCCCATAATACTCAGTGTATAATACAGCCCATGATACTCAGTGTATAATACAGCCCATGATACTCAGTGTATAATACAGCCCATAATACTCAGTGTATAATACAGCCCATAATACATCCCATAATACTCAGTGTATAATACAGCCCATGATACTCAGTGTATAATACAGCCCATGATACTCAGTGTATAATACAGGCCATAATACTCAGTGTATAATACAGCCCATAATACAGGCCATAATACTCAGTGTATAATACAGCCCATAATACAGGCCATAATACTCAGTGTATAATACAGCCCATAATACTCAGTGTATAATACAGCCCATGATACTCAGTGTATAATACAGCCCATAATACAGCCCATAATACTCAGTGTATAATACAGCCCATAATAGTCAGTCAGTGCTGGCAGTCTATGTATAATCACAGTGTGCCCCCCTGTCTGGATTCAATGCCAGGCTGCCCTGTCTTGATCACGTGACTCCCACCTGTCAGGCTGGACGCTGCTCCCCGCTACCTCCCGGCCTCCTGCTGGGTTTCCTCACCGGCCGTTACTATGGTTACTATGGCAATTCACAGCCGCTCTCGCAATGCGACCTCCGTGCTGCAGCGCAACCAAACGCGTCCACCCGCCGCCGGGGAATACGCCCCCTCTGTACGTCACCACGGGGAAGTAAACACGGCGGAGAGAGAAAGAGAGAGCGAGAGCGAGAGCAGTGCGTGTCACGTGGTTGCTGCGGGTTATTAAAGGGGCAGGTGTAGCTGTCAGGTTTTACTTTTGGTTTTGTTTAATAAAGGATTTCCTGTGTTTTTATTTTTTTTTCAAATAGGGAACACAATTGAGCGGTACGAAAATAAAAATCATTCTTAAATCACCATGGAAACCAATGGAATGTTTCAACATTTGCTCCATAATTCAAGGATTTTACCATTATCATGATAGAAAGTCATGATTTTATTAAAGACACGGAGGCGAGTACTATGCTGCACTCTTTCTTTAAAGGGACACTATAGTCACCTGAACAACTTTAGCTTAATGAAGCAGTTTTGGTGTATAGAACATGCCCCTGCAGCCTCACTGCTCAATCCTCTGCCATTTAGGAGTTAAATCCCTTTGTTTATGAACCCTAGTAACACCTCCCTGCATGTGACTTGCACAGCCTTCCATAAACACTTCCTGTAAAGAGAGCCCTATTTAGGCTTTCTTTGTTGCAAGTTCTGTTTAATTAAGATTTTCTTATCCCCTGCTATGTTAATAGCTTGCTAGACCCTGCAAGAGCCTCCTGTATGTGATTAAAGTTCGATTTAGAGATTGAGATACAATTATTTAAGGTAAATTACATCTGTTTGAAAGTGAAACCAGTTTTTTTTTTCATGCAGGCTCTGTCAATCATAGCCAGGGGAGGTGTGGCTAGGGCTGCATAAACAGAAACAAAGTGATTTAACTCCTAAATGACAGTGAATTGAGCAGTGAAATTGCAGGGGAATGATCTATACACTAAAACTGCTTTATTTAGCTAAAGTAATTTAGGTGACTATAGTGTTCCTTTAATTCCCTCAGCAGCAAAGAAACATTTTTGGAAAAAAAACATTAAAAGCAGGTATAAACATCATATAGGCAATGTCCGCCTAGCAACATGACCATCCAATAAGTGACATCCTTCTCCTATAGTAGGCGGAGCATCGATGACCATTTCCTCTTTCTTGCGAATCCGAAGAATAATTCAAACTCAGAACAGGATAACCGAATAAACCAAACGATCCGGACCAAGGCATGTGATACCGAGAGGTCTTTCAACCAAGTCACGCTAAAAGAAACAAGAAAATATGGTAATGTCTTGAAATCATGGGTTGTCATCATATATAGAGTTCTAAACGTCTGACTAAACAGTGACAATAAATCATAAATGTAGTAAGAGTCAACTACCAGTCCGAGGACAATAGTGACAATAGAATTTCAAAATTAAATAATGCCTTAACGCAATGTAGGTATATGATGGCATCAGTACCGCCAAATTGAACTTACCATGGAGAAGTCTGTAACTTACCTTGACCCACCTCCGAACCGTCCAAGGGCAGGTGAGTGGGATAATACTCGTCTCCGTGTCTTTAATAAAATCATGACTTTCTGTCATGGTAATGGTAAAATCCTTGAATTTTATTAAAGACCCGGAGGCTAATATTGTGCTATTTCAAAGCTGTGGTATCATGGCTTCTGCAAAATGCTGTATTGGTTTGAAATAGAAATTACGGAAAGTAGATTCCACTGACCAATCAGCCGCCTTCAATATATCCTCCAAATGACAACTAGTAAAGGAGGCTTTGGAAGCCATAGCACCGCGAACCGAATGCGGAGAAAATATGGAGGAATAAATACCCGCCAAGGACATGAGCCATTTGACCCAGCGGGCCAAGGTAGGAGAGGATACCGGAGCATGCAGTTTACGGAAGGAGATGAAAAGTTGGGAGTCCGACCCAATCCGCAGGGGTGCGGTACGAGCTTCATATGGCCGAAGACACACTACTGGGCAAAAGAGCGGCTTCAGAGGAAAAGCTGGATACAGGACTGACCGGGAGGACGATTTTGTCCTCCGTGAGATGTCAAAAACGACTCCTTCTGGGGAGAAGGTGCGGGCATTGACATCAAGTGCTCTAACGTCTGATACTCTTTTGCATGAGATTAGACACAACGGCATAACTAGTTTAGCCGAGAGTTGCTTTAAGGATAAAGACTCTGTAGCGGAGAGGCAGTATGATCCACGATATCTCCGCTGGGTAACAGGAACAACAAGGATAATCCAGGGAATCAGCATCTAATAATCCAAACAGCACTGCAGTAACCCTTCCTTCCCAAGAACTAGACGACACATAGGCTGGGAGTCAACTGAGGTTTTAATCACAGGTCACAGTATTTATGCAATTCCCCATGCAAGGGGTTTCCAAACAGACATTACAGGGGTTGTACAGGAGGGGACTACATGGGGGACTTACAGTACTACATATTTCTCCCATCAGGCACCGCTGCACGAGAGGGATCATCCTCCCAGAATGCACCGTTAAGGGGATTATCCCCTCGTGCAGCAGAACCGGCAATTCACACAAAAATCCACAGCTGGTACAATATACGGTGGATTTACACGAATGGACGTTCGGTAGATAGCTGGGGTCTGGGCGCATCATTCGTGAGATTGCCGCTCAGATCCCAGCTAAAATAACCGAACGCCGCACAGAAAACACCTTTCTTTCAAAACACATGAAAAGAACCGATTGTCTTTAGTGAACCTGGTCCTGAAACTCCCGAACGTCCTGGAGGCTTAACGGTGTTCGTGCCGTCGAATAACTGTTGGGAATGCTATGCGTTCGACGACACGGACCCGCTGACGAACCAGGGATCCAAGATGGCCGCCCGCCGCATGGTCGGTAGTCGAACGACGGCCACCCAGGAGAGCCTCTAATAACCGATTGCAACAATGTTGCAATCGGTTAACTAGCGCCACACGCCTCTAAGTGTGTGGGCTATTAGGGGGTATCGCATTCGTTTCACGAACGGCCCTCCAAAGTGCCGTTCGCGAAACGAACGGGAATCCCCATACAAACCGCCATTTGCATTCGGCGGAACAGATAGGTACAGGCAATGCAGGGAATACATGAAGCAGGCACATACAGGTACAATGCATCTCTCTCCAGACCTATAGGCAACCCTTAAAGGCATAGTGTCCAGTTATAGTCCGAGTGGCTAGGTTTGCCACAATGCTCCCCCAGAACCAAGCCGGCATACACAGTCTGATCCCAACGGATCGGCTTGGGGATGTCCGGAGGAGTACTCACGAATCACGGCTCCAAGTCTATTTGTCTAGACAACCCGTCGGCGTTGCCATTCTGCTTCCCAGGGCGGTAGTGGATAGTAAAGTCAAAAGGCTGCAGCGCCAAACTCCAGCGCAGCAGCCTGGCATTGTCTCCGGACACCCTGTTCAGCCACACCAACGGGTTGTGATCCGTGAGTAAAGTGAAGGGTTGCCCGTATAAGTAGGGTTGCAACTTCTTGAGGGCCCACACCACAGCCAGGCACTCTTTTTCAATGGCGGCGTAGCTTACTTCCCTGGGTAAAAGTTTTCGGCTTAGGTAAGCTACGGGTTGCTCGCCGCCATCGGGTCCAACTTGGCTCAGTACTGCTCCCAATCCAAACATAGAAGCGTCTGTGTGGACGAGAAAGCGTTTAGTTGGATCAGGAGCAGAAAGTACAGGAGAATTAACCAGCGCCGTCTTGAGCTGTTGGAACGCCTGCTCACACTCTGGGGCCCAGACTACTAACTTAGGGAGGTTCTTGCGGGTCAGGTCTGTGAGGGGTTTGGCGAGGGCGCTATAGTTGGCCACAAACTTCCGGTAGTACCCGGCGGTCCCTAAAAAGGCGAGCACTTGGGTCTTGGTGCGAGGGGTAGGCCATTGGGCGACTGCCTCTATTTTAGCAGGTTCGGGTTTCTGTTGCCCACTCCCTACCCGGTGTCCCAGATACTGGACTTCCGCCATACCGATATGGCATTTGCTGGGTTTTAGGGTCAGTCCGGCCTCTCGGATTCGGTCTAGAATGGCTCCTATGTGAACCAGATGTTCGTGCCAGGAGTGGCTGAATATGGCGATATCATCTAGATACGCGCAGGCATACTCCTGGAACCCATCTAACAGCCTGTCCACCATTCTCTGGAAGGTAGCTGGGGCGTTTTTCATCCCGAATGGCATAACCTTAAACTGATACAGGCCAAACGGGGTGACAAAAGCCGACTTAGGGATGGCGTCGTCCGCTAAGGGAATCTGCCAGTACCCTTTGCACAAGTCTATAGTGGTTAGGTATTGACCCCTGGCCATTTTGTCGAGGAGTTCGTCTATTCGGGGCATGGGATATGCGTCAGAGGTCGTTTTATCGTTGAGCCGTCGGTAGTCTACGCAGAAACGGGTCGTCCCGTCCCGTTTCGGCACCAGTACTACCGGGGAGGCCCAGGGGCTGTCCGAGTGCTCTATTACTCCTAGCTGAATCATCTCCTCAATTTCCTTGCGCATATTCTCCTTGACTGCTTCTGGAGTGCGGTAGGGGGGTTGGCGCAAGGGGGTCGAATCTAACGTTTCTACCTTATGGGTAGCCAACGGGTATAGCCGGGTAAATTGGAAAACGTGGCCTTCTTTTCCCGAAGCAACTTTTGTACCTGGGCCCGTTCTTGGGTATTTAATCTTTCTCCTAACTGTACCTCTCCCAGATCTCCGCTCTGGCCCTCTTGGTCTAGGAGATCGGGTAGGGGTAGGTTATCAAAATCTTCCGTGGCAGGGGCACAGATTGCGGTGACTTCCTCAGTCCGTTCGTGGTATGGCTTGAGCATGTTCACATGGAGCATGCGTTTGCCTCCCACGCCGGTAACCGGGCCGATCACATAGGTGGTGTCACAGATCTGTTCCACCACCTTGTATGGGCCCTGCCAGGAAGCCTGCAGCTTATCTTTGTGGACGGGTCGCAGGATTAGGACTTTCTGCCCCACCTGAAAGCTGCGGTCCCTGGCTCCCTTATCATACCATCGGCGCTGTCGTTGTTGCGCTACCTGGAGATTGTCTCGGACGGTCTGGGTTAGCCTCTCCAGGCGTTCCCGGAACTCGAGCACATATGGTAAGATAGGGGTGCCATTAACGGTTTCGTCTCCCTCCCAGTGTTCCCGTATCAAGTCAAGAGGTCCCCTCACTCTCCTCCCGAATAATAATTCGAACGGAGAGAATCCGGTGGATTCTTGTGGCACTTCTCGATACGCGAACAGTAGGTGGGGTAAGAACCGCTCCCAGTCCTTTTGGGTGTCCATGAACGTGCGGATCATTTGTTTCAGGGTTCCGTTAAATCGTTCACAGAGCCCATTGGACTGGGGGTGATATGGGGAGTTGAGGATTTGTTGTATCCCACATATTTTCCAGAGCTGATGGGTCACTTCCGCAGTAAACTGGGTGCCTCTATCGGAGATAATCTCCCGGGGAAATCCTACCCGGGTGAATATCCTCATCAGGGCCTCGGCTACCGTTTCTGCGTGTACGTTCGTTAGGGCCACTGCCTCGGGGTACCGGGTGGCGTAGTCCACCACAGTTAGGACATACTTCTTGCCGGAGGGGCTGGGTTTTGCGAGGGGACCTATAATGTCTACTGCCACCCTACTGAATGGTTCTTCAATGATGGGCAGAGACCGTAGTCGGGCTTTGTATCTGTCCCCCCTCTTGCCTACCCTTTGGCAGGTATCGCAGGTCTGACAATACCGCTTAATATCCTGGGAAATACCTGGCCAAAAGAAATTTTGGGTCAGCCTGTGCTTGGTCCGACTGATGCCTAGGTGTCCAGACAGGGGGATATCATGGGCTATGCGTAACAGCTCTAACCTATACTTTCGAGGCACTATTAGCTGTTTAATGGGCAACGGTATTGACCCGGACACTACCTTCTCTGCGTGCCGATATAGTAGCCCCTTGTCCCAGATATATCTTTCCCCCTCTAACCCAGCTTGATTTTTATCCATGCGGTCTTTGTACACCTGTAACGAAGGATCTAGGGCTACTTCGGCCCCGAACTCTAGGGAATTGGCCCAGGGCAGGGTAGGGGGTAGGGGAGGGTCATTGCTTACCTGAGCCTCAGAGTGTTCGAATGGTGCAGTGGTGCGGGCCTGTTGCCGGGTCACAACCGGGTATGCTTCTTGTACGGTGGGCTGGGGAACAAAAGCCGAAGTCAGCTCCCCCAAATCGTTGCCCAAAATCACATCCGCTGGCAAGTCTTGCATCATCCCCACATATACATTCCCGTGCCCCGCTCCCCAATTCAAGTGCACCTTGGCCGTGGGTACTTTGTAAATGGCTCCCCCAGCCACCCGCACAGCCACACAGTCCCCCGTGAGCTTGGGCTTTGGTACCAGATGACTGCGTACTAGAGTTAGGGTGGCTCCCGAGTCACGAAGTCCTTGTACTTTCCTCCCTTCCATGTGTACTTCCTGGCGGTGCCCTTGGCGGTTATCGGAGGCGGCCTGGATAGGGTTCACCTCGTGTAGAGTACCGAGAGGTTCCTCCCGGGTCGTCCCCAACTCCAGATTTTGGTCGATTCGGCCTGTAGACAGTGGACTGCGGCACGGTTGCTCGGGGCGGCGTTATTCCAGCTGGGTCGAGGCCGGTTCCGTGGGCAGTCTCTCTGGATGTGCCCCTGTTGGTTGCAGGTATGGCACCGGATTGGTGGACGTGCTGAATATCTGGGGGGGTAGGAATTCTGATTTACCCCTGGTCGCTGGTACGTTGCGGGGCCCCCTGGAGGGCTGGCCGTTGTAGGGGGGATGGTGGCTCGGGTTGGTATGGGTTGATCTCTCCGATTGTCCTGGAAATCGTCTGCCATATTAGCCGCTTCCTGCAGGGTGTGTGGCTTCCTGTCCCGGATCCAGTTTTGTAGGTAGGTCGGGACGCCATTGAAGAATTGTTCCAGTACCATTAGCTGGAACAGACCCTCCAATGTATCAACTTGGGCGGCCTCCAGCCACCCTTTGGCAGCTCGTTGTAGCTGGTGCGCCCACTCCACATGGGTGTCCTTACTGGGTTTTTTAATGTCCCGAAACTTCTTTCGGTATGCCTCTGAGGTGATGGCATACCGGGCTAGGATGGCCCGTTTTACTTTAGCGTAGTCTCTACTATCCTCGTCTGGTACTGCCCGGTACGCTTCGGCGGCTCGCCCAGATAATCTCCCCGCTAGTAGGGGTACTCTGTCTGCATCATTAATCTCGTGCAGCAAACACAGTCTCTCGAAATCCTGTAAATAGTCGTCAACGCCACCCTCTGTCTCCACATAGCTTTTGAAGGCTTGATATGGGATTTTGGTTTTCCCTGGGAAACTATGGACTGGCGTTGCGGCTCTTTCTCTGGCTTGCTGGTTTCCTGGCGGTCCCCTAGCCATAATGTACTCCTGTACATCGGCGAACAGCCGGTTAAACATTTCTGTAGATGGTGGTTCAGGAAATAAAGCCATTCGTGCTCGGAATTCCGCTGTAAATTCGTTGTTTTGTCCCTCCATTTGAGGTGCTGCAGCAGCTGCGGCTCTGTCTCCTTCCATGAGCTCCGTAATTAGGACAGCCTTTGCCTTGTTACTGGCGATTGCTCCTCTTGCTTCCAGCAGCTCCTTTAATGTGCTCCGTTTTAGCAGGGTGTAGTCTGTTCCCATTCACCTGCTGTTCGTGAGGTTTATTCGAATGCGCTGATTCCCGAATGCTTGTTCCTTGATTCGTTTAAAAATCTGCCGAACGTTGCTTTGCTGTGTAAATTCAATCCCACCGCTGCCACCAATTGTAGCGGAGAGGCAGTATGATCCACGATATCTCCGCTGGGTAACAGGAACAACAAAGGATAATCCAGGGAATCAGCATCTAATAATCCAAACAGCACTGCAGTAACCCTTCCTTCCCAAGAACTAGACGACACATAGGCTGGGAGTCAACTGAGGTTTTAATCACAGGTCACAGTATTTATGCAATTCCCCATGCAAGGGGTTTCCAAACAGACATTACAGGGGTTGTACAGGAGGGGACTACATGGGGGACTTACAGTACTACATATTTCTCCCATCAGGCACCGCTGCACGAGAGGGATCATCCTCCCAGAATGCACCGTTAAGGGGATTATCCCCTCGTGCAGCAGAACCGGCAATTCACACAAAAATCTACAGCTGGTACAATATACGGTGGATTTACACGAATGGACGTTCGGTAGATAGCTGGGGTCTGGGCGCATCATTCGTGAGATTGCCGCTCAGATCCCAGCTAAAATAACCGAACGCCGCACAGAAAACACCTTTCTTTCAAAACACATGAAAAGAACCGATTGTCTTTAGTGAACCTGGTCCTGAAACTCCCGAACGTCCTGGAGGCTTAACGGTGTTCGTGCCGTCGAATAACTGTTGGGAATGCTATGCGTTCGACGACACGGACCCGCTGACGAACCAGGGATCCAAGATGGCCGCCCGCCGCATGGTCGGTAGTCGAACGACGGCCACCCAGGAGAGCCTCTAATAACCGATTGCAACAATGTTGCAATCGGTTAACTAGCGCCACACGCCTCTAAGTGTGTGGGCTATTAGGGGGTATCGCATTCGTTTCACGAACGGCCCTCCAAAGTGCCGTTCGCGAAACGAACGGGAATCCCCATACAAACCGCCATTTGCATTCGGCGGAACAGATAGGTACAGGCAATGCAGGGAATACATGAAGCAGGCACATACAGGTACAATGCATCTCTCTCCAGACCTATAGGCAACCCTTAAAGGCATAGTGTCCAGTTATAGTCCGAGTGGCTAGGTTTGCCACAGACTCGTTGTCTGGCCATCTAGTCAGGAAATTCAATACCATGGAGACGTCCCATAGGGAGGAATAGCGAGGTAGAGGTGGCCTTGCGAAGCAAATGCCTCGGAGAAGACGACAAACAAGTGGGTGTCGTCCTATCGGGGCCTGTAATGGTATTTATAATTAATGACTTTTTGTCATAAAAAAAAGCATAATGAGCTTAATGCTTTAGAGGCACCACTAGGGGTCAGTGTGCTAACTCATGTGCTTCTGGCAGTGACATCACAGGCCAGCCTACTTACTGGATAAAACCAAATAGTAGAAGGATTTTCATCCTCTTTTTCCTTTGCTTGCATTGATTGAACATGTAGCTGTGTGTATAGCTCCAGCCAAACAGGCTGGAGCCATGTAAGTAATCTATTATAACAGCTAGCAACTGTTATAGCCTTTTGTAAGTAATGTTGTAGTTTTGTATTGTGTAATTATTGTGGTAAATTGATATTCTGCTAGCATTTGTTTAATTGTTATTATAATTATATTAAATATACATTTAATACTACAATGCTTTGTGTATTTCCTATTATATATTCGACCATAATACCGAACTCTATTAATGTTGTTATTTGTTGCTTAATTATTATATATTAATTATTAAATTAATATTCAAATTTAAGTCACGACTATAACACTTGGCGACGAAGATGGGATTATGCTGGAATATTAGGGAAAATACAAAAGTTATGCATTTTGTTTAATACATACTGTAAATTGTCTGTCTGTATACAAATGAATAAATGAATGATGATTTGGTTTTAATGAAATGAATGCAGATAGCAGATAGGGATTAGATATTTGTTTTTTAAGGTATCTCTTGTTGTAGAACATAGTGATGAATTATTGTGTTGCTTGTTACGTTTTACCAACCTTTGGTCATTTTTATATATAAAACAAAAAACTATTTTACTTTTTGTCTGACCATGTGGATTTTAATCCACCATTGACCACATTGTGTGAATGAGTTGAGGCCTAGTTTCATTGTTTGCTTTCATTTGCATAGGAAAAGACTTTTCACTAAACTAGTTCACCAGGTTTTATTGCTAAATTTGACCCTGTTTGTGTACTAATTTACATTTGTTTGGTATTCATGGATTTGTCTAGTTGAAAAGAGATTTGGACAAAATGTATTAAATTAGTAGTTAAGAAAAAGATACGTTTAGTAAAGCAGATTCAGTGACTAATAGATTTATGTGTGCGTATACACAGAATATTAGTATAAATATATATGATTTTGACTCATGAAGGAGAGACCACATTTTTAACAGCTGTGTGACCATGCTTTTCAGCTACAGCTGGGGGAGAATTTGTCCTTGTTGGGGGTGGGTAGTCTTGCCTGTATGAGAAAAAATAAACTGCATTGTTTTGTAAATGTAATTGCCTAAACTAATCAATTTGTGGAGTGTTTTTCAGCTTTATTATCCAGGACTAAGGAATTACTGGACATATGCAGGAACTGGTAACAAATGAACTGAAAAAATTGTAAAATAATTCCTTTGTCCTATTTAGTTTGAATATTTTAACAAGTTAGCATTTTTAACAAAGTAAGTGTAGGGGCTCAGATTAATATTTATATTATTTTAGAAGCCATCTATAACTGATTTGAATTAGGGTGTATCTGCCTAGCGGGTGAACCTCCATAACGTGGGCTGTGATTTTAGTTACAGTAGCGGGCGGGGAACCTGAGCTAGGGGGTATTTAAACGTGTCCGGATAAGGGGGAGCATACCCAATAGTTGTTGTGCAGTTCTATCCTGTATTTGAAACCCTGTATTACTTATAAGTAGCGTTTTGTAACTTATTTGTAATTGTTTATATATATATATATTGCTCTGGGAAAGGGATAGGCAAAATCTCTGAGAGACCAGGAAATATATTTAAAAAAAGGGCGTATTACACTAGTGGTAGGGCGGCCTATCATGACCATAGAGACCCTTGGTGACTAGTTTTTGTTGTATATTGCCCTGGGAAGGGGATACGCTATTTAATAGAAATTCCTGAGAGACCAGGAAATATACAATAAGTGATACGTGAGTGTACTGGTTAAATTGCAGACATATTGGCCCAGAACCTTTAATCGAGCCGGAAAAGAGGCTGCTGTATGTTTGCTCCTCTATAATTTTGCGGGGGCGGTCACCCCCATGCGGAAAGCCACTGCCATCACAGGGTGGTTAGTTGTGCAGGCCCTTAGCCGCGAGGTGCAAGCATGTCCGTGGAAAGGCTAGAAATTAATAGGGAGTCACTCATAGCTGTCAGAAGTGTTGAACTTTGAGACATATTGACCTATATCCTTTCAGAGGCGGAAGAGGTGTTGTGGTTCACTCCTCTATAATTTAACCAAAGGGTGGAAAGTTATTAAACATGTTTAAGTTGGCTAGAAATTTGTTACTCATAAGTCCATTTGAAATCCTGTATTGCTTAAAAGTTTGTGTCAGTTTTATATTGCCCTGGGAAGGGGATTAGCTATTGTATATCCCTGAGAGACCAGGAAATATAAAATAAGTAATACGTGGGTGTATTGTGTATCTGCCTAGCGGGTGAACTGCCATAACGTGGGCTGTAAACTTAGTTACAGTAGCGGGTGGGGAACTTAGGCTAGGGGGTACTGAGCATATCTGCCTAGCGGGTGAACTGCCATAACGTGGGCTGTAAACTTAGTTACAGTAGCGGGTGGGGAACTTAGGCTAGGTGGTACTGAGCATATCTGCCTAGCGGGTGAACTGCCATAACGTGGGCTGTAAACTTAGTTACAGTAGCGGGTGGGGAATTTAGTGTATGTGTGTATGTGTGTGTGTGTGTATATATATATATATATATATTTGCAGTATACGCTATAAGTGACTAGGAAAGTAATCCTGATCTGTTTTCTTACCTTTTCAGATGTAGCAGAAACCAGAGGTGGACATTGGAACACAGATAGAATATCAGATGGAGACCAGTGTTTAAATGTTGACCTTTGATGAGCTATTGAATGTTTTATTTTATTGTCTATTTAACATGTCTATGCTATGATTTTGTGCATACTATTCTCTTATTTCTAGTGATTGTATTGCAATTGAAACCCTTATGTATTATTGTTGTATGTATGTATGTATGCTTGCCTGGGAAAGGGGGGAATTGACCCATAGGGACCAGGGGGTATTTTTGTGTAAACCAAACTGGGGTGGGAGGGCTCTAACGAGGGAACCCCATTGTCCAGTAGGTGCTTGATTTGTGTCTGTGTAAAGTGTATGAGTGGTTGCAGTTAAAAAAAAAAAAAAAACGGAAGAATGATAAGAGGGATAAGAGAAGGTAGGCATTTTGGGTTATCTATACATGTTTAAATAGAAGGGTGGTAAATAGGAATGTAATTGTTTTGGTTAATGTTTAGATTAAATTGGTTAAATACAGCATTGATAACGCGTGTTTAGATTAAATTGGTAAATGCAGCAGTAATAACGAGTGTTTGGGTTAAATTGGTAGATACAGCAGTGATATTGTGTTTATCTGTGAATCAGGAGTGTGATGGATGTGAAGAGAGGTGTGTAGGTATTTATCCAAACGCCATAGGAAAAAATATGGTTAAGACACCACAATCAAATGGTACTTGTGATGATTGGCCCAGTTATTATTTATGTTTGTGTTCGTCATTGCCTGTGTTTTCATTCAAGAACTTTCAAGCAAGGATATTTTAAGCAGAAGAAGAAGCACTGGACACTATGCTCAACTGTTGCTGTAAGGAGAAAAAATATTGCAGCTAAGAGTGGTGAGAGTCGGAACAAATGCATCAGGAGCAGGACACTGTTACGTCAAGGTGGTTAATGGTATAAAGAAAGAAAAAACAAAACAATGTGACCACAAACACACAAAAGTCCTTGATCACATGAACTGTTTCATTCATCCCTGTCTCCATGCGTATGTTCTATGAGACTGTCGAAGAATAGAGTATCCAGTTTCCAGGACTAATGTTTGTGAAAATTCCAGGCACACAGACCAGCCAGAGGCTACAGAAATCGAGTCGGTCTGTGCCATGATTCATAGGTGTTATGAGTTTGTGGTGTCTAATACTATATTAAGCTCCAAAACACATCCTCACATGAACACAATATCATTGGTTAATCTAATAAAACATGGTTTGAGTTGTCTATTATTACAAGGGTGGGTATTTGCCTATTTAAGGCCAAGGTTTCCCAAATGCTAATGCATGTGCTCAGTGGTTATTATAAGGGTGGGTATGTGCTTATTTTAGGCCAAGGTTTCCCAACTGGTGATGCATGTGCTCAATGAAAAAAAAAAATTGAATAAGCAATAAAGTGTCATAACTTTACGGGTAAATGGGTATCATTCTTCAAAAGGTGGGTTTTGTTGTAGGGCAGGTACTGTTAAAATAGGGTAGATTCAAGATGTGCGGGTTTATAATGTTTGTTTTATGACATAAGTCAAAGGGTGGTTTGTAATGGTATTTATAATTAATGACTTTTTGTCATTAAAAAAAGCATAATGACCCGGGAGAGGCGGCCGATCTCCCGGCACGGGTCAAGCTCACAAACGAGAGCCCACTACAGCCCTGCTGCCCCCCCCTCTGGACCGGCGGGGGACATCCCGGTCCTCGCTGGGGACGACTACCCCCACATCACCCCCTGAACAAGCGACAAAACATGCAGCCAAACGGGAAAGACAGGACCTAGCCAAGATGGCGGCTCAGACACAGCCTATGACCAAGCGAACACCTACTAAGCCACCCAAGCACACATTAGAGTTTGTTAGCTGGCTAAGCACCTACCTCTGGGCAAAGTGTAAAGCCCAAAGACAGACTCACAAGCTAGCGATGAAAGAAGTGATGGCATGGATCCGCCCGGCTGCCCGGCGCCACCTGCAGGCGAACCCTCCTTGTAATTCCCGAGCGGCCCCACGACGGAAACAAAGCCGAAGCTCATCATGGCAGGAAACGGCGCCGGGGTCCTCGGATAGCACACACGACCCCATCCTCCAGATCGGGGCCTGCTGGCGCACCCAAACAACCTCCCACTCTGCGATACCAACAACCCTCAACCAGAAAAGCGCAACCCCGCATGCGAATACTCACAAAGCCGCCTGTGGCGCTGACCAGGACGCAGCGAGGCTGTTGGCTGGTGGGCGAAAATGGCGGACAGTCCCTCCACGGCCCACAGGAGAGGGAACCTCGAAGGGGCACATGTCCCGCCACGCTAGAAAAGGCATCGGGTGAAGAGAAACGGACTGATCCACACAGAGGCCCACGGCCTGCGACCCTGTTTGAGACGCAGGGATATTTACCCCATGCAGACGGAGACATAAAGTATCTCAGTTACCATCTCACCAAGGACTATGGACACTGAACAATGCTATGCTATCAGAAACACGGATTCAGCAAAAGTTGGTATCTTACAGACTAGCATAAAACACCTTAGTCCCACACTGGGGCAACCATGCTCGTCTGGATGGTCTCTCTCTTAAACCAGTCACACAAGGATAAATGTTGTGCCGGAGGCCAGTTCAAAGCCAGAGGTCCTCATATTTACCTAGCCTGGTTAGGAAGCCCCCACTAGGCTCTTATTGAGCCACGTTGTTTTAATGTTCTTCAAGCTGTTTTGTTTCCCGTAGGGGTGCCTTACTTATCTTTGCCACATAACTTAGCCTCACAGAGACATTTACAACTTGCATTTAATAATAATTTTACTAGCATATTTTCCTAGCCTGCAATATAGTAACCTGGTACCCCAGATCAAGACATCCTTATCTAAGCTAGTGTGCCATATTAGTTATGAAACCGATTCATTTAAGCTTGCACATCACTTATTTTCTTAACTTCCCATGAAAGCATGTTATTAACTATCTCAACGTATTCATAAGAGAAAATCCCTTTACCTAAGCAGTTAAAATGCCTACAACTTAGACACACCAGCTTGAAACAACACTCGACTGTCATATGCCTTGTCTATCATTGTTTGCATGTCACTTTTACTTTTATTTTTTTTAACTTAAAAATTGTGCACAGAACTTATTATGCCATGTTACCACTTGTTGATATACGGTCTTGCATTGCTATTGTGGCATGACAGACCCGACTGTTTATCCATGCACGAATAAAAATAAAGAATTTAAAAAAAAAAAAAAAAAGCATAATGAGCTTAATGCTTTAGAGGCACCACTAGGGGTCAGTGTGCTAACTCATGTGCTTCTGGCAGTGACATCACAGGCCAGCCTACTTACTGGATAAAACCAAATAGTAGAAGGATTTTCAGCCTCTTTTTCCTTTGCTTGCATTGATTGAACATGTAGCTGTGTGTATAGCTCCAGCCAAACAGGCTGGAGCCGTGTAAGTAATCTATTATAACAGCTAGCAACTGTTATAGCCTTTTGTAAGTAATGTTGTAGTTTTGTATTGTGTAATTATTGTGGTAAATTGATATTCTGCTAGCATTTGTTTAATTGTTATTATAATTATATTAAATATACATTTAATACTACAATGCTTTGTGTATTTCCTATTATATATTCGACCATAATACCGAACTCTATTAATGTTGTTATTTGTTGCTTAATTATTATATATTAATTATTAAATTAATATTCATATTTAAGTCACGACTATAACAGGGCCCCATCAATGTCAGCGTGGCCGGCTGAAATAGCTGAGCGGTAGAGGTTTACCGTCCGGTAAGCTTTCCCGTTATCATAGAGGGAGGTCAAGAATTGGAGGACCGTTGTCACAGGAGTTGATAGGGGATCCACACCCCGTGCCACGCACCAACCATCCCATGTGCGCCAAGCAGATTTGTAAGACTGTCTCGTGCCGGGTGCCCATGAGCCCTCGAGAAGTCAGAGAGTTGATTGCGACACTCCCTCGATTGACCAGGGTCCCCGGAAATCAGCCACGCCATGAGGCGGAGGAGGCCCTGTAAGGATCAGGGGGTGGAGGGTCCCATCGGGGTCCCGTAGGAGAGATTGGGCATCCGGGAGGAGCCGCGGATGATCTATAGCCATCTCCAGTAGAGGAGGGAACCAGGGCTGCGACGGCCATAGAGGGGTTATTATCACCAGGTAGCCCAATTGGCGCCATAGAGGGATGAGGGCGAATGGAGGGAATGCATAGTTCCTGGTGGTTGACCAGTCTTGGGAGAATGCATTCGTAGCCGAAGCTGTAGGGTCTGGCCTCCAACTGAAAAAAGTCGGAAGTTGGGTGTTTAAGCGAGAGGCGAATAAGTCTATTGCCAGAGGACCCCACAGATCCCAAATGCACTGGAAGATTTGGGGATCGAGGTGCCAGTCGCTGGAATCCTGCAGATGGCGGGAGTAGCAATCTGCCGTAGTGTTGGACAACCCCGGCAAATATTCTGCCCTGACCGCCATGTTGTGTTGTAGACAAAACTGCCAAAAGTCTCGAGCCAAATTCGCTAGAATTTTGGATCTCGTGCCACCGAGGTGGTTGATATAACGAACAGCCGATGTGTTGTCCATCTTCAGTAAGATTGAGCACTGGGATAGTGTAGGGGAGAGGCTGCGAATCGCAAAGGAGCTTGCTAGGAGTTCTAGGCAATTTACAGCGTGGACTCCGCTTCCGACCAGCGTTTGCCTGTGGAGATATCTCTGCAGCGCGCACCCCAACCGTAAGAGCTCGCATACGACTCTATGACTACGTCTGGAGCCGAGCCGAAGATGGCTCTGCCATTCCATGCCTCCATGTGTAGGAGCCACCAGTGGAGTTCCTTTTTTGCATCTGCGTCAAGGGTCAGAGTATCCTCGTATGAGGCGCCGCCTCTGAGGTATGACGCCTGTAGGCGTTGAAGGGCTCTGTAGTGAAGGGAAATATGGCCTGTATGGAGGCTGCTAAGAGCCCGATCATGCGGGCCAGATGTTTGAGAGATATTTGCGGACAGGCAAGGACTCGTCTTATCTCTTTCTTGATATTTCTCATTTTGGATGTTGGTGAATACAAGGTTTGCATGGCTGAGTCCATCAAGAGTCCTAGGAACTCTATTTGTTGAGTGGGGACTAGGATGGACTTTTCCCAATTTATAAAAAAGCCCAGATTCTGTAGCAAGGTTGTGGTCCAACCAAGGTGAATATGAAGTAGTGAAATTGACTGGGATAGCAGCAGGATGCCGTCAAAATATATGATTAGGCGAATCCCCCGACTGTGTAGGAGAGCGATGACTGGCTTCATGAGCTTGGTGAAACACCAAGGCGCCGAAGAGAGACCAAAGGGAAAGCAGCGGAACCGCTATTTCCTTCCTTGCCATGTGAATTGCAGGAAATTTTGGTGCACCTACGCAATGGATATGTAATGAGAGCCCAGACATGGGAAAAATGTGTGAGTCTGCCCCCTATCGGCACATGTGAAGAAATTTGAGAAAGGTAGCTTACCTTAAGGACGTCTTCCGGAAGGAGAGCCTCGTGCACCTCTTGACACCCAAGGTCTGCCTCAATGGGGAAAGAAGGTCGGAGCGGACCTCTGGTTGGGAAAGGGAGTCTCCCCATATAGGAGCCTCGGTTCGGGCGCGAACCTCTATTGACTCTGCCGGACAGACAGCCCCTTGCTCTGCCGGCCCCAACAAAAACCTTTGGGTGGAACACCCTTTTTAGATTAGATTGTGCCTTGTCTAAGGCCGTGAATTTTTGGACATAGGAGCCCAGGTCTTTCACGAAAGACTCTCCAAAAAGATACCCTTTTACTTGGGCTCCTGGCTCAGTAATTGCCATATTTACGAGTTTTGGTTCTATTTTAATCAGAATAGATTTACGGCGCTCTGTAGCAAGAGCCGTATTGGCATTGCCTATGAGGCATATCACTCTCTGAAACCAACCTCTAATAGTGAGGCGATCTAAAGCTTCGTCTTGCGCCAAGGATTCCTCCACAGCTTCAAAAATTTTGGTGGCTGGACCTAAAATATCCAAGACTTTGTTTTGGCAATTATAAAGCGAAAAGTCTAGACCTTTCTTAGGTTTCCAACCAGTTTTGCTTAAAAACTATATGATTTTGTGGTCAACTTGGGGTGTCTTACAGACCTCGTCAGGTACCGTGGGGCGTGGGCATTCAGCCCTCAGTTTATTTCATGTTGCCTTATCCAAAGGCTTACGGACCCGGGATGCGACGTATTGCACCACATGCTCGGCCGGTGACCATTCCGCAGAGCGGGGGTGACGTAAGTCATCGGGCTCGAACAATGGTTTGCCCTGTGGGTGAAGGATTTTACCTTCTTTGTTTAAATCAGAACTGGACGTGCCAGTGATATGTATTTTAGTGGAGGGGTTACACTCCTCATCCATTCCGTACTCCGAATCTAGGTCGGACAAATCGTTAGACTGATCTGAGTCTAGGGTAGGGGCACTCTCCTCATCTGAACTGAGTTCTGACTCAGTGGTATCAGCTTTAGCCCATTTCCAGTGTCTAGCCGATTTTGCCCGGCTAGAGGCTCTTTTGTGCGGTGGTTCATTATTCGCGCCATCTGTGACAGGTGTTTTGCTGTCCATCATTAGTTTGGAGGAGTGCTTGGCTTTAGCCGAGGCTTTGCGGTCGGGGCGTGGGGGGTGAGAGATAGATGGTATCGCGACTGGCATGGCTGTCAGAGGGACCATTAATTGGGTCTGTATTAGTGCTTGGGTAAATTATTTCGAAATAGAGGAGGACATAATGTCCATGGCAGATGCCAGAGCTTTAGATACAGACTTGGACAGTAGTGTCCATGGTAGCTTGAATTTCCTCTGATGCTGGGAAATCCACTTCATCCCCAGAAACTACAGGGGGAAAACCCAAGGCAATTTGAGGGTCAGCTTATGTCCCAGAGGGACCAGGAAGATCATTAGAGGATTGTATTAGTGCAATTTAAACAATATACAGGAATTGCCAGTGTTAACTTTAATTAGCAAGTGTTGTGGAGCAGGGTTAAGTAACCCAGACAAGATACAGGATACAAAAAATTTAATAAAACAATAGAAATACTAGTACTCACAGCTATTATCAATATATAGGGGGGAAGCAGGAGAAAGGGGAACCGTCCGTCACTAAAACTGGACACCAACTCCGATCAAGTGACGGAGTGGGCGTGTCGCGAGAGAAAAGGGCGCGAAAGCGCCGTTTAAAATGGCCGCCGATTGATTTTTTTTAGATAAAGAAAATTATTACTGCAATTGAAAAAAGCTAGCCGCAAGGCCGCGGAGGTACTTATGGGGCTCTGTAAAGAGCCAACTGTCGTGCTAGAGGTCAGGTGAATGTGGCTGAGACCGCGCTCGGGATTTCGTAAACCGTGCATGGATACAGCAGCCAAGCCGCAAGATGGCCGCCAGAGGCGTCCCTGATGGGATGCGCATGCGCAGCTGATTGAGGCAGTTCCAGCAGCCGCAACGGCGGCGGTTACACGAAGAAACGAGCATAAGAGAAAAAATTATAAAATCTAATGCAGGAAGAGTGGTAAACTCAATTCTAGTCAGAAAACAAACAAAAATCTTAAAGGCATATGCTTACATTACAGTACAGAAAATTGTAAAGATCACAATATAATTAGCATATAATAAATATAATTAGCATGTAATCACAAATAACTATAGAATCCCACAGCCAGAGCTGTGATATATATCTGTGTGTGCCGGGTTTTGTATCAGTATGTGTGTCCGTGTGTGTATCTGTGTTTCTGCATGTGTCATTGTTTTTATCTCTGTGTCTGTACATTTATATGTATCTGTGCTGTATGCGTGTCAGTGTTTGCATCTGTGTCTGTGTATCTGCATGTGTGGCAGTGTGTGTATCTGTACATCTGTATGTGTCAGTATGTGTATATGTGTGTCTGTGTCAGGTTACCTTGTGTATCAGTCAGGGGCATGTCACAGGCTGACGTCACATTGCAGGGTATTGGGAACACTCCTACCAACTCTCAGCTTGTGCCCAGCGAGTCTCACGCCAGCTGCGATAACCCCGC